TTTTTTTTGTTAAGTTACTGAATATTAAATATAATATACACTACATAAATTAAAAATATTATTTAATATCAAAACATGTCCTAACTTGTCAAAATCTAACATTTTTTAAAATTAACGTGTGGGAGATATCTCTTGTCTCGTGTTGATGTCGGTGCAAGTGTGCAACATAGCAAACCAGTTCAAAAAAATCTTGAATCACCTCTGATAGAAAGCGATGCCGCTCAAGTTTTTAGACTATCTATAAGTCCTAGAGTTCATTCTCTGCACCCTTTTCCAGCTAAATAATTTTCATGATCCAATCAACCTCTTTTTGTGAGAATAGGCAATAATCAGAAGAAATGAAACAGCAGAAATTATTCCTGAGACAATAACTACCAGCGAACAAAGAAAGTATATTTTATTCTTTATTCAGAATATATAGTTCAAAATATTGCAGCCACATATATTTATAAGCACTGGCGCGTGCATAAACATCAATCGTTTGCGTACCCATTTGAACGTGTTACCATGGTCCATGGTTGTTATTCCAAGTAAATGGGATATTCATGCCAAAAATAGCAGCCACCAAAGAGTAGAAAGATATACAAACAGTTCCGGAGCCAAGAAAGAGCTCTAACTGAAGTGTTGAAGAAGAAGGATTAGCAACCTCATGCATCGAAATAAGATACATTAGAGAATACTGATAAATGACATGCATGGTTCAGAAAACATAATAGGCACCTGAATCAGCCGATTACGATGGTTGTCAAGCAGCAACATGGAAAAGCTTGACTCATATTACATCTCATTTTCCAAATACCAACAGATATCGCCGGTAAATTAATATAATAGTTACTTACTTGAATATTAATATAATCTTCGGTATCATTAATATACTCTCGTAGCTTTAAATGAAAAGAAAAGAAAAAGTAATTATAAATATGGGATTTGCATTTCTCATTTAACATGACACAACAAACATTCCTACACACACAACATTTTGTGGAGCCCACACTTTTTGAAGAAAAAAGAAAAAAAATAAATTACGGCACGCAAAACGAGTCTCTATAACATTACACAATCACTTTTCCTACAACATAACTCTTATAAAACCCTAGAAATATATAATACTCGGCTGCTTTTACGTAAAGCTATCTAGAACAGCAAATTCAGAGTCCAAGTAAAATTATACAATTTAAGAACACAGACTATTAAAGAGGCAAAGCAAACATCAAAAGAGTGCTCTGCTTTCAAACCCTTTCTAGAAAAGTTTAATCTATTAGGCGTATGAAAATTAAGATTTACAGCTACCTATATTGCACATACACATACTGTGGTTAATTTGTTCATTGTGCCTTCAATTTGAATGAAATAAGCTTGCAAAATGAACAAACACTACTTATAACAGTTCTTTTTTCATTAAACAAAGGGAAATAATACTCTCATGCTACATGAGAGTAAATTATTTTCCTACACAAATTTATTTTCTATGCCAATTAATTTTTCTTTTCTTTTTAAATATAAAATATGGGACTCACATTTAACTTCTCTCTACTTTTTTTCTCTCCTACAATCCTATAACATAAGAAAATTTAAACCCTTAAACAAAATATGGAGGATTCTTTATTGGAAAAAAACGTTTTTCCTATTACAGTAGATAGAGTTATTTCATGCTGCCCCAAAACGATATTGTTTGGGGGTTTAGGATTAAAATAAAAGATATTTTAAAAATTTTACATTCCTGTTTAAATCATGAATTTTACTAAAATATCTTTTATTTTTATTCTTTAACCGCAAAACAATGTCGTTTTAGGACGCACGAGATAACTTTATCTCGAGAAATTTTAATCCCTTATTTATTACCCTTTTTTAAAGTAAATAATGTTTTAATTACCTAGAGTAACATTTCTAGCTTTTCCACATCATTTTCATCTAAATGAACTGTTGCTACACTTGCTCTACATGCTCTGGATATCTTTGATCCTATGGTGGGAGAGGCAACTAAACAATTTGCAGGACCTGGTCCGCTAACTGGTGATGATGAAGTTGCCAACTTTCTTGACACGTACAGGTCAACCATATCATCATCATTATCCAGCAATTCTTCAAGCACATCTCTGACCTGTTGCAGATAACAATTACTGGTGAAGGAGAAGGAAACAAGAACATATTTTGTATTCCATTTTAAAACTAATCTAGATTCTTGGCAGTTTTGGGGCTTTACAAAATCCATCATTCACAATGTTGTTGAAGTCATCAACAAGCATAAGTCAATGATTAAAAAAAAAATCACTCCCTTTAAATTTCATCCCGGATTAGAGAAACCAATGATGTGATTTAAAAAAATATTTTTGTATATAAAGGAAAATTGAATCCTCTCGTGTGTAAATTTCACATTGATATCATGTGTGAATATGTATCCATCTCTGTTTTTATAGATATTCACAAAGATTGATAGATCCCAAGAATTTGTGCAAGTCAAGTAACTTTCATCAGCCCAACAGTTGAATTGAAATTTCTCATCTAGTAGATCAAGTACATAAAATGTCATAGTTTTGAAACTAGTTAATGCTTCATTTCATCACTTTATGTTGATGTATAACATGCTTTTTTAAAATACAAGCAAATGTAGCTTATTAGATTACATACTTATGAATGTCTGATTTATCTAAAATTTGGTATGCATGGTCATCTATATAACTTCACATTATTCAACAAATGAATTGGATAATTTCGCATTCTATAAAAAGTTATTGAACAGTGTAAGTGTTCAGGATTTGCTCCTAGAGAAGGTGGATCTATTCCCTTTTAAAAACTGTAAAGTAGAAGTACAAAAGAACCTCCAATACCTTTGTATGTCAGAATCAACTTTGAGTGTGAATGTTAGAAACCCAACTTTATATACCTAAAAACAATAACAGCATAAAGGATCTACGAAAATAATCCCACATAAGGTAGTGAAAATTGGGTCTTCTGACCTAGAAAATAAACCTTCCAAATTTTCAAACTCTAGTAAAATGATATGAAGGATTTTTTTTATAATGAATCTTTCATCAACTCATGCATCATCTCACAAATCAATAGCACTGAGAAGCAGAAGGTGCAGAATATATTCATATAAAAGTAAGGAGTCTTTTTCCAAACATAAAATTTTCAGTAGTAGAGGAAAATTCGGCATACCTTTTGAACCTAGCAATCAACCATGTCATTGCACTCTTCAGTTTACGAACTTTGTCCAAACTATGACTACTAATCTGCAAATTATAATAATTCAAAAGTTCATAACAACTGAACCAAAAAAAGAAGGTACAGTTTCAAACATTGAACTAGAGCATCCACATATCAAGCCAAGCAAACATAATTAGACTGAACCCCTCAATGATAAAAAGATGACAAGTATAAGAAATCAAAAGGACAAGATATTTGAAGTGAAAGAAAGAAAAGTCCACCAAACCTTTTTTAGAAAGCTTCTTATTTGTTAGCTTATTCTATATCTGAGAAAGGGTATATGGGGTTCAGATTAGGATCGAAACAAGAAAGAAGAAATAACTACTTCAGTATCATGATTCATGTTGACCATCAAGATTCTCTTTAGCATCCCCTTGCTGTTGATGAATGGCACTTACTTGAGGCAATCGCCTTTGCAATACCTCAACAACAAGGACCACTTTTTCTATATCTGTTGAATCTCGTAGCAATACCTATATACGTACCACAATATAGTTATAATCAGAATGCGGGAGCAAAACCATAGTATTGATTTCATAATATTTCTATTTATGTTGTTTCAGAGAAATAGGAAGCCATAGTGATTTTATTCATTCTCCTTCAAAAAATAGAGGTGGTGACATCACCGGGGACCCCACATACTGTTATTACAAGAGTAATTTGTCCCGTGAATTCTAAATTTGTTAAAAATTAATGTTTGAATTAGTTTAAAATATATAAAATATAAAATATATTGGGAAGATATAGAAGAAGTAAATTTATAAAGGGAAAATTAAAAAAAAAAAAAAAAAAAACCCTATAACTTTTTCCATAATCATTTATCCTCTAACTTAAATTTTTTTTATCATTTACCCCCATAAATGAAGGGGATAAGTGATAAAGAAACATTAAGTCAAGAAGATAAGTGATAAAAAAAAATCTAAATAAAGTTTTAAATGATTCAAAAAATTTGTGAGGAGTATAAATGATAATTACAAAACTCATAGGAAACTTTTTGAAGTTTTCCCATTTATAAAAAGTAGATTTAAGGCTTTAATGTTTCTAAAGTGAATGTAGATAAATTATAATTACAAAAATACCTTAATTTCCGCCTCAAAACGACGTCGTTTTGGACTTAATGTAAATAAGTTATAATTATAAAAATACCTTGATTTCCGCCTCAAAACGACGTCGTTTTAAGCTTAATGTAGATAAGTTATCTACATTGACTTAAAAAAAACGAACCATATATATATATATAAAAGCAGGATCTTTTGACACCAGTGTCAAATTTCAAATTTGACATCTTATCTGAGAGCTATTAGATCAAAAAAATCAACAACTCTGATTTGTAAGTATGTAACATTATTGATCTTTTTTTATCTAACGTCTCTCAGATGAGGTGTCAAGTAAAAAATTTAACACTGGTGTCAAAAGATCTTGACTCGGGCGTTTGGTACAAGAGAAATTTTTATTTGTCCGGGAATCTCGATTTTCAAAAATATGATTTTTGCATTCAGTTTACGATAATATCTGAAAATTTAAAATTTAGAAAAATTCAGTTTCCCGAGAATCCCTTAAAATCCCGCGTACCAAACGCCCCTATATATATATATATACACACACACACACGAGACTAAGACTTGAAATCAGTTTAGGAACACTGTACACTGCTACACTTCATTTAAGATAAATGGACAAACAAACTACAAAGAGTTGCTTGCTTGCATCATCGCTACCACTCATTACACGAAGAAAGTAAAGAGTAAATGCGTAAATGTTATATTTACATACCAAATCTCACCCCCAGTACCATTAAATTATACATGAATTTGTATAGGAATCAAATCATATTCTTTCATACACACCCACAAAAATTCCAAGGACTCATCTTGAGTCATGTGCTCAGACTAAATCAAAAACTGAAAATACAAAGGAAATGTGAGAATAGCCGGTTACAAAACTGCATTTAATGGCTAAAATGGTTTGGAGATCGGATGCATTTATGATGCTTATCCGATACATGTCTACGCAAAAGAGAACAGAGTAAAAAAAGTATCAGAATGACAGAAATAGCATATAAAGATAATCACATATTATTAAAAATCAAGATTCAACTTTGAATCTGAAAACTTTTTACAGTTCTGTTTTGATGCTTGAATCCAGAGAGCCAAGTAGTTTAGGATATAGCGGAACCGCTTGACACCTGCTCCATATTAACTTTTGGACTCTTATAGCTAAGCTCCCACCAGATCCTTTAACAGCTCTTGTTACTAAAGCATAACCAGAATACAACAAAATCTTGAATCACCTCCAATATAGAGCTCTACAACATAAGTTAATAGACTATATGTAGGAGTCCTAGAGTTCATTCTCTGCACCCCTTTTCCAGCAAAATTTATTTTCATGATCCAACCAACCCCTTTTTGCGAGCATAGGCAGTAATCAGGAGAAACATAACAGCAGAAAATACTCCTGAGACAATAACTACCTGCGAACAAACAAGGTAAATTTTAATTTTTATTCAGAATATCTAGTTAAAGAGGGCGAATCTAGAGCAATGGTAAAACTGCTCCATTATGATTGAAAGGTCACAGTTTGAATCTAAGAAATAGTTTCTTTGGCAATATACAAGGGTAAGGATGCGCACAAGAATTGCCCCACGCTTACTCTTGCCAATCAAAGTTTAATGGAAGTGGTTTATTCAGAATATATAGTTCAAAATATTGCCGCCACATATATAAGCACACAGATGCGTGCATAAACCACAGCAGTTTGCGTACCCATTTGAACATGTAACCATGGTCGTCATTCCAAGTATATGGTATATTCATGCCAAAAATAGCAGCCACCAAAGAGTAGAAAGATAGACAAACAGTTCCGGAGCTAAGAAAGAGCTCTAACTGCAGTGTTGAAGAAGATGGATTAGCAACCTCATCGAAATAAAATACACTACAGAATACAGATAGATGACATGTATGGTGCAGAAACATTAAAGGCACCTGAATCAGCTGATTACGATGGTTGTCAAGCTGCAAAATGGAAAAACTTACTCATATTACATGTCATTTGCCAAAAACCCATAGATATCACCAGTAAATTGCTAGTTACTTACTTGAATATTAATATAATCTTCAGTATCATCAATATACTCTCGTAGCTTTAAATTAAATGAAAAAGAAAAGTAATTAGAAATATATAATACTCGGCTGCTTTTAGGTAAAGCTATCAAGAACAGCAAATCCAGAGTCCAAGTAAACCTATATAATTTAAGAACACGTACTTTTTTTTTTTAAGCAGATAAGAACACAGACTTTTAAAGAGGCTAAGCAAACATCAAAAGAATGCTCTAGTTTTCAGATCCTTTCTAGACAATCTTAATCTATCGGGGGTAGACTCTAACACATCTCACCATGAATAAATTCAGGGATCTTGAAAGCCTTTTTTTTTTTTTACATTCTTGAAAGCATATTTTAGGCATATAATCACCATTATCACAATGATATTCAATTAAAAAGGAAAAGGGGGTACAGCAAAGATCCAAGTATGCTCTATTAGATTCAAAAGGCTCTAACTTAGCAGTTAGCACAAATGGTTAAGAAATTGAGTGATCACCCAAGAAAGGTCTGAATTTCCCAATGGAAGGAAAATTATATTTAGTGATAAGAAAAAGACAAAAAAAGAGAAGGGGGACTTTGCACTCAAATACCACTTTTCGTCAATATACAATAAGGTTTTGCCAATGCCACAGGATTAGACTCTTGATTCAAAAGATAACCCCCTTATGCGACATAGAAAAATAGTACATTTTAGTGTACAACATACTGTAAACATGCAATGACAACTGACAAGTTGTAATTGAGGTGGTAGGGTCACATAACCCAGCAGTGCTTCAGCATGAATTAGAAATTTATATTTTTAATAAGGTTTACAATGATCCAGTTCATAATTAATGCACTGAATTGGCCTAGAATCCACGTGTTTCAAGAAAAATATATATACTTATTAGCAAATTTCATCGAACAAGTAGACAGAAAAATTTTAGGGCTCGCCAATTTCAATTACTATAAAATTTATTAAAAATGAACCATAGTTTTAATAAAGTATAAAAACCAAGTATCAAATAGAAGGAATCCAACTCACTATATCATCTCACACAATCCTTATGACTAATGAGAAGGAATTTTAAAAATCATAGCACAAAGAAACTTTTCAAAACAAATTTTTTAATATAAACTATAAATATCAACTTTAAACAGCAAGGGGAGGGGAAGAAGGAAGAGAGCAAAATGCACATCCCTCTGTTCGCCATTAATTTCAAAATATTAATTAATACAGTAAAAACCTTATAAACATTCACAGTATCAATTTGGCCAAACTTCAAGATGCTAACTAGTCTAAATCTAAAAGTCTCTACACAAAAGTCCAAGCTTTCAGTTCCCTGTCAAGTAAATAAATTAGTAAAAAGATCATAGGCTCCAAATTACTAAAAGGAACAAAAAATCATAATTTTTCTCCATATTTTTAACTAAATCTTCCAAAATATTTTTATATCAGGGATGTATGAAAATTAAGATTTACAGCTATCTTTTAGCACATGCACATACTTACTGTGGTTAATTTGTTCAAGGTGCCTTCAATTTGCATGAAATAAGCCTGCAAAATGAACAAACACCACTTATAAGAGTTATTTTTCATCATACATAATACGGAAGATCCTTTCCGACTATTTTTTTTAAAGTAAATAATGTTATGATGGACCTCCAATGAAAGTGTACAAGAGGAAGAAGCATCACTTGGAAGAAAAGATGACTCAGGCCCAATTAGAAGAAGGAAATCTGGCCCAAGTTGAGGAAATGGGAGGCACGGATGATGAAGGAAGATATGTGGGTGAAGGAGAAAAGTAGTTAGTTAGTAATATGGACAGATGGCAAGCATTGAATGGGGAATTAGAAGTGGGTGAAAGTGGGACGTGTGTGAGGGAATCTGTTATATAAGAAGGAACATGTGAAAGGAAAAAGGAAGTGGGTATCCATTATTTTGTGAATGAAAGGAACAGCTGCTGGTGAACTTTATGAGAGAGGGGGTTTCTCTTGTGAAGGGTAGCATCAAGTAGTAGTGGTAGCAGTCTATTAGCTGAAAGTGTCTCTGTTTTCTTTTCGTAATTGAGTAGGAAGCGTCTGTAATTTTCTTTACATTTGGAGTCGTAGTAATCTAGAGATTATGTGTTGTTAGCACTGTTATATTGCAGTAGAAGTAACGTGTACTGAGCTGTAGTTCGATTTGTGATTAATCCAAGTATGTTGTTTGTTTTAATTGTTGTAATTCCTTTAAAGTTGATATGAGTGCCATCAATTTGGTATCAAAGCTTCAAATCCTTGGAGCATTGAGCAAGAATACTAGTAATGTAAAAAATAAAAAGAAAGAAAGAAAGAAGAGATTCATAAAACTTCAAATTGATATTGAAAATCATCTGTATGATCAAATCACGAATGGAGACCAGAGTAGAGGTATTGGAATAGAGACTGGGAGAAATTGAGAGACACGTAGGAGGAACTGAGGGACGCTTGCTGGGAATGGAAAATACGATTCAACAAATGAATCTGACGATGATGAATTTCATGGAACGTATGAAGCCTCTTCTAGAAAGGAATGGACGAGGAACGAACAATGGAGAAAGTCATATACGCAACACCGAGACTAACAAAGATGAAGAACATATGAGAAGGGTGGAAGTTCCATATTTTGCTGGAGAAGATCCATACGGCTGGATCTATAGGGCGGAACGTTATTTTCGAATCAACCGAATTTCGGCTGAAGAACAAGTTGAGACTGCATCGATTTGCCTTTAAGGAAAAGCTCTTAACTGGTTCCAATGGTGGGAACCACGAAATCCGTCGATCACTTGGGACGAATTTCGTTCAGCAGTTTTGCAGAGGTTCCATTCATCTTCTTCAGGCAATCCATATGAGGCTCTAATGTGTCTTCGACAAACAGGAACAGTAGCGGAGTATCGTGAATGTTTCGAATTACTTTCTGCTCCCCTGACGAGGAGATGATGCAAGCAGCTTACTTAAACGGATTAAGGGAGGAAATTCGAGCTGAACTTCGTTTGCATGATTTGCGTGATTTGGGATGTCTCATGACGCTTGCTCAGTGAGTTGAAGAGAAGGAGAGGGTGTTGGGACGATTGGGAACGGCGATGGACAAAGCTGGATCTGGAAGTGCAAATGGGCTAGGGACTGGGATCCACACTCGTACAACCCTTCACAATCGGGCCAGCAATCATACGAATAGGCCCAATAATACGTTAAGTGAGGGACGAAATGGGTCACATGGATTAGGCTCACACACCACAGCCCAAAACGGTGGACAAGAGAATGAGATGCGAAATTCATCCAGCCCTAATTCTGAAGGTGCTAGTAGCGGGTCAAATACGATGAACAATGGAATGAGAGTGGGGACCCTAGCTCCAACAATGGAAGTCGTGAGTACAGGTACAAGCGATTGTCTCCTGAAGAATAAAGTGAGAAGAGAAGACGAAACTTGTGCTATCGCTGTGATGCGCCATACTCTCCAGACCACGTCTGCCAAAATCAACACTTGAGTGTTATGTTGCTAGGAGTAGGTGAAATGGTGATGGAAGAAGAGGATCCGGAAATCAGGAGCGAAGGAGACAGTCAAGGACAAGGGGAAGTCGTCCAACTTAGTGTGCATAGGATTGTGGGTTTGACGTCGAGCAGATCATTGAAGTTGTGGGGTGAGATCAAAGGGCGGAAGGTGACAGTATTAATAGACACAGGGGCATCGCATAATTCCCTCGCAAATCAGGTGGCTAGAGACTTGGATTTAAAGGCGGATGCAAGTAGGAGCTATTATGTAGTAGTAGGGGATGGACATCGAGTGCAAACGCAGGGGGTCTGTAAAGAGGTGATGTTGAATTTACCAGGCATGTCAGTACAGCAAGATTTTTTCTTGTTTGAACTTCGGGGAGTGGAGGTCATCTTGGGGTATTCATGGTTGGAAGGGTTAGGAGATATACAAGCTAATTTCAGAAAATTGGTGTTGAGGGTACCGTGGGAGGGGCAGATGGTAGAATTACGGGGAGATCCTACTTTGTCAAGGGAAAGGGTGTCCTTCAAAGGATTGGGAAAAGCTTGGAGGAAAGGGGAGGAGAAATTCTATGTTGAATTGGGTGAGTTGTCAATGGATGACAAGGAAGAAAGGGAACAATCTCCAACGGTTGTCAAATTACTGGGCGAGTTTGAAGATGTATTCAGGAAACCTTCAGGGTTACCACCGGTTCGAAATTGTGATCATCATATTCCGCTTAAAGAGGGAGCGGCCAATCCCAATTTAAGACCATACAGGTACCCATACTATCAAAAGGAGGAAGTAGAGAAGTTTGTTCGCGAAATGTTGGATACAGGGTGGATTCGTCCAAGCTCAAGCCCTTTCTCCATCCATTAATTCTAGTCAAGAAAAAAGATGGTAGCTGGTGTTTTTGTGTCGATTTCAGAGCACTGAATCCGGGGACTGTGCCTAACAAATTTCCTTTACCTGTGATTGACGAGTTGTTGGATGAATTGGCTGGGGCAGAGTTGTTTTCGAAGCTGGACCTGAAGTCTGGCTATAACCAGATTAGAATGAGGCCAGAAGACATAGAAAAAACGGCTTTTCGAACACATGAAGGGCACTATGAGTACCTGGTCATGCCGTTTGGATTGCGCAATGCACCTTCCACTTTCCAATCGTTAATGAATGAGGTATTTCGTCCCTTCTTGCGTAAATTTGTGTTAGTTTTCTTTGACGATATCCTTGTCTACAGCAAGAATGAGGATACCTATATTGATCATTTAACTCAAGTACTAACTGTTCTGAGAAACCATGAGTTATATGCTAATTTGAAGAAATGCTCCTTCATGCAACGGGAATTGGAGTAATTAGGCCACATTATTTCTGGAAAAGGAGTGAAGTCGGATCCTGTTAAGGTGGAGGCTATTCAACAGTGGCCAGAACCGAAAAATCTGAAGGGGCTGAGGGGTATTTTAGGACTGAAGGGTTACTACCGTCGCTTTGTAAAACACTATGGGCACCTTGCTCGTCCTCTCACACAACTACTCAAGAAGAATTGCTTTACTTGGCATGCGGAAGCCCAAGCTGCATTTGATGATTTAAAGAAAATAATGCTACACTTACCTTAATTGGCTACGCCAAATTTTGATGAAGTTTTTGTTGTCGAAACAGACGCCTCAGGTCTGGGCATGGGGGCTGTTCTGATGCAAAAGGGAAGACCTCTGGCATTCCTCAGTCAAGCCTTTTCAGAGACAGCAAAAGGATTATCGGTATATGAAAGAGAATTAAAAGCTATTGTATTTGCAATGCAAAAATGGCGCCATTATCTCTTAGGGCTTCATTTCATTATAAGAACTGATCAATAGAGCTTGAAGTATCTTACGGAGCAGCGGGTGTTAGTAGAAGGGCAGCAGTGCTGGGTGACAAAATTGTTGGGGTTTGATTTTGAAATTCAATACAAACCTGGAATTGAAAACAAAGCTGCGGATGCTTTGTCCAGAGTGATGGATTGCCGGGAAATGACTCTGATTTCCGGTCCAAATCTTGAGGCACTAGCGGATGAAATTTTGGCTAACCAAAATACAAGGCAAATTATGACTGAAATCATGATGAATGCAACGTCACATCCTAGTTATAGAGTTGCTAAAGGCTGTCTTTGGTTCCATAATCGTTTGGTCATACCACGCTCTTCAAAACAGATCCCAATTCTGTTGGAAGAGTACCATGCATCTCCATGGGGGGGTCATTCAAGGGAGATGAGGACTTACAAGAGATTGGCAGCCGTTTTTTGGTGGAAAGGCATGCGGAGGGCTGTGCAGTTGTTTGTGCAAGCTTGCGCTACTTGTCAGCAACAAAAAATCAGCACCTACAACCAGCGGGGTTATTGAGTCCATTGTCAATTCCTTCTCAAATTTGGGAAGATATTTCTATGGATTTTATTGGAGGACTACCTAAGTCTCGGGGAGTTGATACCATTACGGTTGTGGTTGACCGACTCTCTAAATATGCTCATTTTATCACTTTGACTCATCCTTTCACTGCTGGAATTGTGGCTGCTGTCTTTGTCAAGGAAATTGTTCGTTTACATGGATTTCCTAGTTCACTTGTGTCTGATAGGGATCGGGTTTTTGTCAGCAAATTTTGGAGTGAATTATTCAAGCTACCTGGCACTAAGTTGAAGTTTAGCTTTGCCTACCACCCACAAACGGATGGGCAGACCGAAGTTGTCAATAGAATCCTCGAAACTTACTTACGATGTTTTGCTAGTAATCATCCGAAGGGGTGGGCAAAATGGATTCCATGGGCAGAATTCTGGTTTAATACCACTTATAATCGTTCAACTCGGATGACTCCTTTCAAGGTAGTCTACGGGAGAGACCCACCTGCAGTTGTCCACTTTGCCAAGGGTGAGACAGCACTGGAGACTGTGGATCAATGGCTGGAAGCTAGAGACATCATTTTACAGGAGTTACGAAGAAATTTGTGTATGGCCCAAGAGAGAATGAAAGCTCAGACAAGCATAAAAGAGAGATGGAGTTTAATGTGGGTGACTTGGTATATTTAAAATTACAACCTTATAAGTTGAGGTCCTTATCCCGCCATCTCAATCAGAAATTGAGTCCCCGCTTTTATGGCCCATTTACCATTAAAAAAAGTGGGTCAAGTAGCTTATGAGCTTCACCTTCCCAGTCATTCAAAAATACATGCAGTGTTCCATGTGTCACAGCTCAAGAAAGCAATCAGTCCTGCAGTCCCTGTTCTTGATCTTCCTAAATGTTTAACTGACTCGTTAGAGCTGCAAGTTTGACCAGCCGCTGTTTTGGAAGTTCGACGATTGCGTAATGGAAAAACTGAAGTGTTGGTACAGTGGGAAGACTTGCCTGAGTGTGAGAAATCTTGGGAAGATGCTGAGCTGCTGCAAGAGCAATTCCCTTCTTTACACCTTGAGGACAAGGTGATACTCAAAGGGGGAAGTATTGATGGACCTCCAATGAAAGTGTACAAGAGGAAGAAGCATCTCATTGGAAGAAAAGATGACTTAGGCCCAATTAGAAGAAGGAAATCTGGCCCAAGTTGAGGAAATGGGAGGCACGGATGGTGAAGGAAGATCTGTGGGTGAAGGAGAAAAGGAGTTAGTTAGTAATATGGACATATGGCAAGCATTGAATGGGGAATTAGAAGTGGGTGAAAGTGGGACGTGTGCGAGGGAATCTGTTATATAAGAAGGAACGTGTGAAAGGAAGGGGGTATCAGTTATTTTGTGAATGAAAAGAACAGGTGATGGTGAACTTTATGAGAGAGGGGGTTTCTCTTGTGAAGGGTAGCATCAAGGAGTAGTGGTAGCAGTCTATTAGCTGAAAATGTCTCTGTTTTTTTTTCGTAATTGAGTAGGAAGCATCTGTAATTTTCTTTACATTTGGAGTCGTAGTAATCTGGAGATTATGTGTTGTTAGCACTGTTATATTGCAGTAGTAGTAACGTGTACTGAGTTGTAGTTCAATTTGTGATTAATCCAAGTATGTTGTTTGTTTTAATTGTTGTAATTCCTTTAAAGTTGATATGAGTGCCATCATGTCATAACCTCGAGTAACATTTCAAGCTCTTCCACGTCATTTTCATCTAAACGAACTGTTGCTACACTTGCTCTACTTGCTCTGGATATGCTTGCTCTACTTGCTCTGGATATCTTTGATCCTATGGTGGGGGAGGCAGCAAACCAATTTGCAGGACCTGATCCGCTAACTGGTGATGATGAACATGCCAACTTTCTTGACAAGTATAGGTCAGCCATATCATCATCATCATCCAGCAATTGTTCAAGCTCATCTCTGACCTGTAGCAAATAACAAAAGCTGGTAACGGGAAAGGAAAAAGGAATATATGTTGTATTCCATTTAAAACTGGTCTTGGCAGTTTACAGTCAATTTGGACTTTATAAAATCCATCACCCACAATTGGGCACAATGTTGTTGAAGTCATCGATAAGCAGAAGTCAATGATATCATTTGAAAATAATATTTTTTATTTTGTAAAGAAAGGAGATGACACAATGCAAGAATGAGGTGCAAACCTCAGTTAAGTAAACTAATACTGTAAAGAACCAATTCAACCCAAAAGCTTAAGCTGTTGGGTGAGGTTACATTAATGATTTTATATATCTCAACACGCCCCCTCACACGAGAGCCCACTGGGCTTGAAGGGTGGACAATGCACAGGCCTACCTACCTGTGCGAACAAAGAAATTCCACTACAAAGAAAGTGGGGGGCGGTGAGGATCGAACCCGGGACACGAGGCTCTGATACCATGTAAAGAACCTTGGGATACACCACCCTAAAAGCTAGCTCAAAGGGTGAGAGTGCCCAAGGCCTTATAAACTCCACATTAGTTGCACATACAACCAATGTGGGACTATATATCTCAACACGCCCCCTCACACAAGAGCCCATTAGGCTTGAAGAGTGGACAATGCAACAGGCCCAGCCTACCTGTGCTAAGAAATGCCACAAGAGAAAGTGGGGGGCGGCGAGGCTCTGATACCATGTAAAGAACCAATTCAACCCAAAAGCTTAAGCTGTTGGGTGAGGTTACATTAATGATTTTATATATCTCAACACGCCCCCTCACACGAGAGCCCACTGGGCTTGAAGGGTGGACAATGCACATGCCTACTTACCTGTGCGAACAAAGAAATTCCACTAGAAAGAAAGTGGGGGGCGGTGAGGATCGAACCCGGGACACGAGGCTCTGATACCATGTAAAGAACCAATTCAACACAAAAGCTTAAGCTGTTGGGTGAGGTTACATTAATGATTTTATATATCTCAACAAATACAGTATATGAATAAACGCCTTCTGAACAAATATATTAATATTGATCATGTGAAGTTGTGCAGAGAAACAAATGAACAACTTTTTAATATGATAAAAAACAAGCTAAACACAGTGGTTTAGATCCCCATAATATTCAGCATAGAGATCATGAAAGCTCCTTAAGTTCACATTCAAACAAAACCCTATTACCTGGTTTATAAGCAAGTATAGGTCTCGAGAATGGGAAAACCTATCTTATAGATTACTAGGATGCTAGCAACCCTATCTGATTTACATTAAATTTCAGTAAATAACCAATTAACCATCTTCATGAGGGACAGAGAAGGAAATATGTAGAAAATTAGAATTCAAACATGTTTCCGTTTTTATTTCCTATTAATTAGGATTGATTGTGATTGATTAGAATTGATTGTGATTAGGATTGTGATAGGATTGATTAGTCATCGCTTAGTCATTCTTAGCGATTCTTTCTTGTATAAATACTCACTCATGTAATTTATTCAATATCAATATACAAAAACTTCTTTTCAATATGGTATCAGAGCGGGTTCGTTCCTACCCTAATTCAAATCTGAAATAACCATCCAAACACTTCCATCACCGTCAAACACCTCCTAAACACCGCCTTGAATCTGTCCAACACAGAAACCTAGTTTACTGACCTCCGATCAAAAAAGTGAGGTGACCATTCGACTCAGAAGGATCCGACGAGTCGACCGCCGCTGGACCCATCGCCGTCAGCCGCTGCACGCGCCACCACGCGCCGCCTTCCAGACGTTTTTTTCCGTCGCGACTTGCACAGACCTTCTCGCCGGCTTCTCCCCTTCCTGTTCCAGAGGTCAGATCAAAAGTTTACAAAACTTGATTTTTCATCAACGGTCAACCCTTCTCTTTTTATTCATGGCTTCCTCAAAACACTCTTTTTATTACCACGAGCAACCTCCTAAGGCCACTAGTCATGTGGTCCAGCAAGGTACAACTTTCCATGTTGATAGTCAAAATCATTGGATCCTTGATTCTGGAGCCTCTGATCATATGACAGGTAATCTTGGCTTGTTTTGTTCATACACTCCATATTCTGAACCTTCTCGGGTCAAGATCGCCGATGGCAGTTTTTCCCAGATTGCGGGACACGGAACCATTAAACTTTCTGAGCTGATTACTTTGACATCAGTTCTTTATGTTCCTTCTCTGACTTGTAATCTCATTTCCATTAGCAAGCTCACCTCTGAGTTGCATTGCTTTGCTAAATTCTTTCCACATGGTTGTGTTTTTCAGGAACAGGACTCAGAGAGGATGATTGGCAGTGCTAGAGAGAATGGTGGACTTTACTACTTTGAGGAGGATGTGACTCATGAAGCTGTTTTCGTAGAAAAAAACTCTATGTTTCCTTTTGATTCATGTAATGATGTTATGCTGTGGCATCGTAGGCTAGGCCATCCAAATTTTATTTATCTTCAGAAGTTGTTGCCAAACTTATTTATTAATAAAAGTCCAAGTTTGTTTTCTTGTGATATTTGTCAACTTGCCAAGCATACTCGTGCTCATTATCCTTCTAAAGTTCACCATGACTCTTCCCCATTTTCCTTAATTCATAGCGACATATGGGGTCCAGCCCGTGTTAAAAATATTTCAGGTACTCGATGGTTCATTACCTTCATTGATGACCATTCTCGAGTTTGTTGGGTGTATCTTCTAAAGGATAAGTCCGATGCTGCATCCGTGTTTAAAAAATTTCATGCCATGGTTCAAACCCAATTCCAAGTTGCTATACAAATTCTTCGTACAGATAATGGCAAAGAGTATTTTAACTCTATTCTTGGAGAATATCTTTCCCAACATGGCATCCTTCACCAAAGCTCGTGTCCTGACACACCCCAACAAAACGGAGTTGCGGAAAGAAAAAACCGACATCTCCTTGAAGTTGCTCGGGCTCTTATGTTTACCACGAGTGTTCCTAAATATCTTTGGGGAGAGGCAGTTCTCACTGCCTCGTATCTGATAAATCGAATGCCATCTCGCATTCTGAAATTTCAGTCTCCTCTTTCTAGTCTTGTTCGTATCTTCCCTTCCTTCCGAGGTGTCTCCTCCTTACCTCTCAAGTTATTTGGTTGTGTTGTATTTGTCCATATTCCCTCCCATCAACGGTCTAAGCTTGATCCTAAGTCTCTCCAGTGTGTCTTTATTGGTTATTCTCCTACTCAACGTGGCTATAAGTGTTATTCACCCTCTCTTCGTAAGGTCTTTGTCTCTATGGATGTCACTTTTTCTGAGAATGACCCTTTCTTCCCCTCGACTTCTCTTCAGGGGGAGTCTATAGGAGTAGATGAAGATCAGTCATGGGAACCTATTAATGCCACAGTATTACCTCTACTTTTGGAAACAGGGGGAGCTACAGAATCCTCACCATCAGGAGCCTCCTCAAAATGGGGACAAGTTTATAGCAGGCGAAAGCCTCCTCAAAGTGTGAATAACCCAGAGCCTCTACACTGCCAGGATTCTGAACCATGTTCTAGTTCTAGCACCCCAATACTTGAGTGTCATGGTGAAAATGATCTACACTTGCCCATTGCTCTCAGAAAAGGTACTCGATCTTGTACTACTCATCCTATTTCTAATCATATTTCATATGGAAAGTTGTCCCCAGGGTTTCGTGCTTTCAATACTATGTTGGATAGTACAAAGATACCGAGAAATATACATGAGGCTCTCAATGATAAAAAATGGAGGGATGCTGTCTTTGAAGAAATGAATGCTTTAGAAAGAAATGGAACTTGGGAGATAGTGACCCTACCCAAAGAAAAAAAGGCAGTAGGATGCAAATGGGTGTTTACAATAAAATTCAATGCAGATAATAGCATCAACAGATACAAGGCAAGATTGGTTGCAAAGGGTTTCACTCAGACTCATGGGATAGATTATCATGAGACTTTTGCTCCGGTTGCTAAAGTCAATACCATCCGAGTTCTCTTATCTCTTGCTGCCAATCTAGATTGGCCTCTGCAACAGTTAGATGTGAAGAATGCATTCCTAAATGGTGACTTACATGAAGAAGTCTATATGGATCCTCCACCTGGTTTTGAAAAGGGAAATGAATCAGTGTGTAAACTAAAAAAGTCTCTATATGGATTGAAACAGTCTCCCAGAGAATGGTTCGACAAATTCACACAAGCAGTCAAAAGAAGAGGCTTCGTTCAAGCACAGACTGATCATACTCTCTTCCACAAACACTCTAAGGATGGTAAAATTGCTATTCTTATTGTATATGTAGATGATATAATTCTTACAGGTGATGATATTGAGGAATTGAACACCTTGAAGAAATTTCTAGCAGCTCAATTTGAACTCAAAGACCTTGGCACTCTCAAATATTTCCTTGGTATGGAAGTTGCTAGGAGCAAAACAGGCATCACTCTAACACAAAAGAAATATGTTCTAGATCTTTTGTTGGAAACAGGAATGTTAGGGTGTAAACCTGCTGAGACACCTGTGGAACCTAATACCAAGTTAGGTATTGAAGATGGGAATGAGGTGGATAAAGAACAATATCAGCGATTGGTTGGTAAACTAATCTACTTATCTCATACGCGTCCTGACATTGCCTTTGCGGTGAGTATGATTAGTCAATTCATGCACTCACCCAAGGAGAAGCATCTTAGTGCAGTCTATAGGGTGCTTAGATACCTCAAGAATACTCCAGGAAGAGGATTATTCTTTAAAAAGGGGTATAAAAGGACAATTGAAATCTACACTGATGCAGATTGGGCAGGCTCATCAGTAGACAGAAGATCTACCTCAGGCTATTGCACCTATGTGTGGGGAAATCTTGTTACTTGGAGAAGCAAAAAGCAAACAGTGGTTGCAAGAAGTAGTGCTGAAGCAGAATTTCGAGCTTTAGCTCATGGAGTTTGTGAAGGAATCTGGTTGAGAAGACTTCTTCAAGAGTTGAAGATTTCATATTCCCTACCAATAAAACTATATTGTGACAACAAGGCAGCTGTTAGCATTGCTCAAAATCCTGTGCATCATGATCGAACAAAGCACGTGGAAGTTGATCGTCACTTCATCAAAGAAAAATTAGATGATGGAAGTGTGCATTTGATATATGTTCCAACCAAAGAGCAAACGGCAGATGTCCTTACCAAGGGCCTACACCGTCCAGCATTCGAAGACTTGATTGGCAAGTTGGGAATGATCAATATTTACCTCCCAACTTGAGGGGGAGTGTAGAAAATTAGAATTCAAACATGTTTCCGTTTTTATTTCCTATTAATTAGGATTGATTGTGATTGATTAGAATTGATTGTGATTAGGATTGTGATAGGATTGATTAGTCATCGCTTAGTCATTCTTAGCGATTCTTTCTTGTATAAATACTCACTCATGTAATTTATTCAATATCAATATACAAAAACTTCTTTTCAATAAAATAGTATTTAGGAATTAAATAAGTTTATGCTTTATAATAAGGAATTTGCTAACAAGTGCCTTTAGGACAATGGTTAAGGAATAAAAAATGAAAAGTAAAACATTTAATATATTGGGAACTCAAGAATTTATTGCTTTCTTCTTAAGTAGTTTAACCATTAAAAGACCCTTACAATGATCGGGGAAGATTAAGGATTTAAGTTCACAAGCAAACCTTGATACAAGAAAATGAAATTCAAATATGAAGGAAGAATATATGATATTGAACTAGTTTAAAACCAAGATGTTAGACAAAATAAGTATTATTTAGAATCAATTCAAATCTATATTTACCAAACTAATTTGAATTTAAACAGAACTAATCGGGTCTTAAATAAGCCAAACACTCCTTATATCAGATTACGTACTTATAAATGTCTGACTTATCTAAAATTTGGTATGCATGGTCATCTAGATAACATTACATGATTCAACAAATGGATTGGATAATTTTGCATTCTATAAAATGTTATTGAACAGTGAAAGGGTTCAAGACTTGCTCCCAGAGAAGGTGGATCTATTCCCTTTTAAAAGCTATAAAATAAAGGTACAAAAAACCTCCAATTCCTTTGTATATCTATCAGAAATCGACTTTGAGATTGAATGCCAGAACCCAACTTTATATACCTCAAAGAACAACAACATAAAGGATCTATGAAAATAATCTCATGTAATGTAGTGAAAATTGGATCTTCAGACCTTAAAAATACACCTTCCAATTTTCAAACTCTAGTAAACTGATATGAAGGCATTTTTTTCAATAATTAATTTTTCATCAACTCATGCACATTCATACAAATAAATATCCCTTCCCATTTTAAAAAAGTCCAAAATATCAACAGCATTAACAGGAAAAAGGTGCAGACTGCAGAACATATTCATATAAAAGTAAAGAGGCTTTTTTCCAAAAAAATATATATTCAATAGTATAGGAAAATTTGACAAACCTTTTGAACCCTAGCAGTCAGCCTTGTCATTGCACTCTTTAGTTTACGAACTCTATCCAAATTACGACTACTAATCTGCAGATTACAATAATTCAAAAATTCATAACAGTTAAACCAAAAAAAAGTGAAGAAATTAAATAAAAAAAGAAAAAAAAGGAACATATTCTTCAAAAAGGTTAAAAAATTGAACTAGAGATCCATATATTAACCTAAGCAACAGAAACCTAAAGCAACCATAATTAGAATGAACATCTCAATGATAAAAAGATCATAAGTATAAAAAATCAAAAGGACAAGATATTTGAACTGAAAGAAAGAAAAATCCACAGAGCCACTTTTACAAAGCTTCTTATTTGTTAACTTATTCTATATCTGAGGAAAGGGTAATGGGTTCAGATTAAAATCAAAAACAGGAGAGAAGAATCAACTACATAAGGAATTCAATTATATATGTACCTTTGAGGTAAGTTCATCTAATGCAGGATAAGCAGCCATCTCCAATTCTGTTGTACGTGCAGCGAGAAAACTACAAATGGCTTCTAAAGCTACCTCCAGGGCCCGGAATTCAAAGGGTGACTCTACATTGCGTAATATAGATCATTCAGATATGAGGGGGGGAAAACAATGTTTGAGAATAATCAGTTCAAATAAATTCATTAACAAGGGCATGAGATGATGCAAATAAAAAGACAGATTTCTAAGAGAAACAGAAGCAGTCAATAAGTTCGTTTATTACTCATGGTTCATCTTTAATGTAACATACCATCTTCTTCGGCTGCTTCAGTATCATGTTGACCATCAATATACTCTTTACCATCTCCTTGCTGTTGATGAATGGCACTTACTTGAGGCAATCTCCTTTGCAGTTCCTCAACAACAGGGACCACATTTTCATCTGTTGGATCTCGTAGCAATACCTATACCACAATTTAGTTGTAATCAGAATGCGGAGGCAAAGCCATCTCAATCTCTAGAAACAACTATACGTTATACAAAGGACCAAAGGATGAATACAAGGATTTACAGATAAACAAACCAGGTTAGAGGACATAGTTAATGAACTTATTGAGGCTGACTCTGCAATATCCTAGTTCTAACAAAGTCCATCCTTTGCTGCTAGGCATAAAAGTACGCAACAAAATCATGAAGGTATATCCTTGTACAAGATGACAAGGGTTCTATGCCATTACATTAAGCAAGGCTGAAATCAATACTATAATGGGCAGAACAAGCCAATAAATAGTTTATGTCTTCATACCAGTTTTCTTCAATGAACTTGATAACAAAAATCAAATTTATTTAACAAAAAATTAATCTTTTTGTCCAATGATTCATGCCTTTAAATGCATGAGTTCAATGATAAGATGCAAGGAGAATGCCATATCTACCATTCCTCTAATCCTCATTGCTCAATCAGTCTAAGTAAAGGACAAGTTCGAAGCCATAATGTTACTATTCCTGCTCCTTCAGAGATGGAGGCAGTGACATTATGTATTCAAGCATAAAAACTTCATGGTAACACAATCATTTTTCAACCATTTTTTCCCCATTGAGACATGCAACACACATCAGAAAGAAGCTTCTTCCACCCCCAACAATCAACAACAAATGCATACACACAAAAGAAAACCCAACTAACCTCTTCGGCTGTGATAATTGCTTTGATATGCTGAAAATCAGAACAAGAGAAGCAAATTAAAAACAAAATTAAAAAAAAAAAAAAAAACACAAAATTAGAAAAAAAAAAAAAAAAAAAAAAAAAAAAAAAAAAATTGCAAGGACCTCCAAGTTAATAACAATGGCCTTCTCACGACCCAGAATGGTAGAGGGGTAAGAGAGCAAGGGATCAAGAATTCTTAGATCACGAGCGTGAATCTGAACCCTGTGCATGATGGCATACTTGTCGACGTCAAGCAATGAACCTTGGCCAGTGCTATCAAATAGAATCCAACTCCTCGAAGATTGTGTCTTCTTCTTCAGAACCGCCATGGCCTGTGGGTCCGCAGGAACAACACTCCCATCCCGAGCCATCTCTGACCCTATCCCCACAACTTCACAATCACATGCCCCAACCTCAATTCAACTCCAATACTCTCTGATTCAATTCAACTGCATCCACAAACCCCACAACAAGCACAACTTCTCATGCATCTCATCCAACACCAAATCAGTATCCCACTCCCGCATAAAAAAAATATTTTTATTTTATTTTTTCCCAATGGAATCAGATTCTCAGAAAACAAACAAACAGAACTGAAATTAAATAAAAAATTAAATAAAAATTCTCCTCTCTCTCTCTCTCTCTTTCTTTTTCTTTCCCTCCCAGAAAAAACAAAAAAAAAAACCAAAAAAAAAGTTACTTAAGGGTTTGATTTAAGTGCTTATTTTAAATGTAATTTTGTGAGTTTCTAGCGGAGAATGCAAAGTGAAGGCGATGGAGGGATTGTAGAAATGGTGAAGAAGGTTAACAACATGAACGTCAAGGTTTGGTGAGGGTTACGGGGCATACCATATTTATTAAGGTGGGTCCCCTCATAATGGCCAATGAGGTGATGCCAACATAAGAGGACAAGGGGTAAAACGGGAAATAAGTAATAGTGTAATGAGATGTTCCGGTGCCTCCGTGGCCCACCTGAAATATGGTACGGCGGATCCTTGTGTTGGCCTGTGGCTGTTGCCTCTTTCCATGCAATTACGTCTTTATTTTCGCTTTCCTTTCCTTTATTTGCCACAAACACAACTAGTTCAGGTTCTCTTCGCTTTTCATTGGATGATTATCCTATTACATTTTGAAATTTGTCGTCGTAATTAGCATGAATGATTTTTATTCGAATTGTATCAGGATTGTACAGATGATGATTTGATTAGGTATTTGAATATGTATCTGGTGAATATCTTATAAAGAAGATATTTAATTTTGTTCCTCCTTTGATTTACAACTTTTTCTTACACTATTTTATTGGGATATAATTTTGATGTGTTAAATTAAAGTTTGTATGCTGTATATGATTTTTTAAAAATATATTATCATCATCTTACAAATACCGTTTCAGAAATATAATTTTGTAATTTCTTACGAATATATCATTAAATAATAATTAATACACATTATAAATAAGGAATTATTTTCCCATAATATTATATGTACTCACAACTCACAAGCGTGTGAATCAAGTTCAACTTGGACTTTTTTAACAGTGATGCACATCTAAAATTAATTAATAACATTTTCTTAAAAAAATATAAAAAATAATAATAACATTTTAAAAGTAAAACTCTTTTATGTTAATAATATATCAAAATTAAACTCAAATAACAGTTACTTAGAAACAAAATTAAATCGCATAAAAATTAAACATAAATTAAGTCACATACACGAAAAATATATTTAGTTAGTATTTATAAAAAGTAATATTCTAATATTAGACATTCAGTTGTGTTATTTAGTAGGGAGAATTTTATCATTCTTGTTATCAATCTAACTCAACTAAATTAATTAAATAATTGAATGGGTGAAGAAATTAAAAAAATGTCACCTTTAATTTTTTGAGCAAACCGTGACGAATGCCGGATTCAGAGTCGTTAATTAGTTGGAGGAAGAATAATAAACCCACTGATCCTGCCGGGACTCTTGTGACCCTTGCCTTGATGATGACGTTATTTCAATTGACTTCGATCAAAGTAAAGTATTATCCAACTTCAATGTGATAGCTGATAATTATTTAAATTAGTTTAAAAAGCACGGTTATCTTCAACCCTTTTAAAAAATTTATAATATCTTATCGAATAACTTGTCACTCTCTAATTTAAATGGAAATGCAAAATACAATATGGCATGTGCCAAATAAAAAATTATACTTGCTTTTTTTCCTTTTGCACTTAGAATCAGTGTTGAGAAAATCGGTCTGGCCCGGCTGGTCAGACTGGTTGGCTTAGAAATCGGTTTGATTCTTGCAACAGATCGAATATGTTATTGACCCGGTGAACCGGTCGTGAACCGCGTTCAGTCGGTATTAACGGTCGAACCAGTGGACCGGTTTTATTGCTCAAACCGGATTTGGAAAAAATAATTCCAAAGTTGTAGCTGTTGGGATTCAAACTCGATTCTCATGAGTATAAACTACAACAACTTAACACTCAGCTGAGTTTGTTTGTTGTTTAATATGCATCATTTAATATATATATATATATATACATGTATATATCATATCATTTAATAGAATTATTTAAAAATTGCATCTAGTGGGAATTGAACTCTTGTGTGAAGATATAAATTGTAGTATTTACCACTAAGCTACGTTTAGTTCTTGGTTCACTTGCATCATTTAGAATATTTATTATATAATTAAGTATAAAATATAAATTTATATACATATCTGGTTCATGCGGTTGAACCAGTGACCCGGTACCCCGACCGGATCGATCACCGATCCGAGTTTAATAACATTGCTTAGAATTCAAACGCAAATCACGCCATAAGAAATATACATTTATTATCAAGGAAATCATACTCTCATATTGTACTCATGTTGAAAAATGTACTTCTTTTTTTTCTTTTTAAAAAAAATTAATTGGCCCTACTTTATTTGTTTCTCATCATAAGGGAACTTTTCTTCTGCTGCATAAAAGAAGTAATCCCCTTATAATCAAATAGGTGAACACTAGACTAAAGACGTGATGACGGGATAGTACTAAAAAAAAGATGTGACGACGAATTTGATCATTACAGACTTTTTTTCACCAGAGATATTATAATCAATTCATCATTTCACGACTAGTCTGATACGAGGCGGATCCCATGATTGGCACTCAATCCCATTTGAGACAAGGTTAGATAAAACTTTGAATAGAGGTGTTGTTGAAGCTGCTTCTACTAGTAACGCCTGACAACTTGCAAGGATCAACAAACTGTCCCCACACACTAACACGAGACTTTTCAACGTGCTTTGTCCTCACTCGCACACTTTTCGGGAAAACTTCCCAGGAGGTCACCCATCCCAGAATTGTCTCAAGTCAAGCACGCTTAACTATGGGGTTCTTCTGTTCCGGGTTACTGAAAAGTAGATATATCTTGTTAGTATATGTAGTACCAATTAATTTTTATAAGTTATTTCCAACTGTACCGTCTCATACCAGCACAGTCTCTGGAATCCCTCTCTTTCGGGTATTGATTCGATTCATTCATGCATCCCCGTCACTGGAAGTCTGCCAAGAGCCGCTCCTTGTCCATGCTTTTTCGTACCGACGATCACTCTCTGCCCTCATCAGAGCCTGAGATGTTACACTACTTATGTTCCCCGTGTATTTTAGTCAATTTGCAATTGTTTGGTATTAGGGAGGAATGTATTGTGTTGGGAATTCATTGTTTCAATTCTTTTATGGACATGACAGGGTGTGAGGTATACTTTTCTCTCGTAATTTGTATTTGGCTTTAAAATTAAACGTATAATGCGTACCTTGAATAATTTTATTTGCCTGAGGTAATTTCAAGTGCAGCTGATAATAATTATATGTTTTTACTTTTAACCTCTGATAATTAATTCATTTTCATTCACAGACTTAATAATTTTCATACAACATTACACAACTATTTTTAGGTAGTATCAATTGCAAATCCACTCTTATAAACATGTTTTACCTTTCGTCTTTCAATGATAACAAGAATCCATATCATGTCTTATAAAGAAATCTTGCACAATAAATTTATCCATCCATCCATCAAAGATACATACAATATGTACATGCACTGATCTATTGATTTTTATAAAAATTAATATCACATGACATATTTGGAAGAATTATATAAATTCTTTATTTTTTTTCATGTCAAATGTGCGTTACCAAACACTAAATAATTTTATCTAGTATTATACCGTGAGTTACCAGTAATTTTCAAAAAAAAAAATTCATCACAATAATTTTTTTTCATGTAGATACTATCTAGTATTATACCGTGCGTTACTAGACACTAAACAATATTATCTTATATAATATCATGTCAAACGTTGAATAATATTAAAATTTAATCAAACATTATACAATAATGTCTTATACTATTAGGGTTTATCCAATAGGTGAATACTAGAATTAAGGCATGAGAAATGCATACTTGTTATCAAATAGGTGAATACTAGAGTAAAGGCGACGAATTAATTTGATCATTACGAACTTTTTGCTCCACATTAGTGAACTAAGAAGTCAAACTTAAACATGGTTAATTGGGCTTTTTCACCTTTTTACCCCTTATTAATTAATTAATAACCATTTTGCCCCTGATTCGAAACTATTTATCAATCTGCCCCTCTTTAGTCGACTACATTGCATTTTTAATCGACTAAATGACCAAAACAGACAAAAAACGGCTGCTGGGAGATTTAGTCGACTAAATCTCCCTATTTAGTCGACTAAATCTTCATATTTTACAAAAAAAAAATAAGTCAGTATGATTTTAATCGATTAAGTAGAGAGATTTAGTCGATTAAATCTCCCAACAACCGTTTAGTCGATTAAAAATGCAAGGTAGTCGATTAAAGAGGGGCAGATTGGTAGATAGTTTCGAATCAGGGGCAAAATGGTTATTAATTAATTAATAAGGGGCAAAAGGGTGAAAAAGCCTGGTTAATTGGTTACTCACACAACTATTTCAAAAATAAGTTTTCAAAAATTACTTATTTGTTTAATTACAAAAAAGAAATTAAACCCGAGCCTTTTCGTTGGTAGTGTTAATTGGAGGTTCAAGCGATGAAAATCTACACTTGTATTACTTTATCAATGGCAAAAAAATTAAAATAATGTATTTAAATTAAATAATTACGCATTTAATGCTGTTTCGTAAAAAATTACACATCTATTGCACAATGTGACGCCAGTTTTGGGCGTCACATGTGACGCCCCATTGGGGCGTCTTATCCATGGGAGAGATGCCCCAATAGGGCGTCACATGTGTGCTCTATATATTTTCTCACCCCCTCCATTCAATTCACACATCTTCTCTCACTCTTCATATCTCTCTTCTCCACCAACATTCCTTTATCTTTAATTTAGTATTTGAATTTTAGTTGTAATTCTATTTAAAAATGAGCTCAAATCCTGATTATGTTCGTGTTGTGTTATATTACAATGGTAGGAAGGTAGAAGGTCGACGAGGTGTCATATTCGAAGGTGAAAAAAGGCCGACACGTATCCAACGCAACACAACCATTGGCGAACTGCATCAGAGAATTCGGCAGAAGTTAAGTCTTCAAGACAACCAATGTATCACTGAGATCACGACAAGGGTGTGGCAAGGTGATAAATACATTAGTTTGAAAGTGCTTGACGATGAAGACTTGGAGATGACAATGGAAGAATTTTGCAACCAGTCAAGGACCGATTTTCTAGAGTTGTATGTCGACATCGTCGCAACGGAGAATGCTCCCATACCGGTGAGGTCAGTTTATTTAAATTCTCCACGTCTTCCAGCTTCTCCTGCCGCTCATGCGTCTCTAGTTGGTACCTTTTCTGAGGGAGATGAAAATGATCCGACTTGGGAAATGCACGACGAAGATGACGATGATGACGATGAAAATATGGCAATGGAAGAACATCTTCTGGCGGAGGATGCTAGTGCTTCAGAAGGAGATGAATCTCGTGAGATGGGTGCGTCTGAAATTCCAATATTCCATCAACCAGTCGTCGCGCAAATGCCGCAGTTGAATGACGTTGCGTCTGCTCCGTTTGGTATTCCACAAGAAGGTAATTGTTCCCATTTGTATACTGCGTGAATAAATAACTGATTTAATACCTGAATTAGTAAGTTCGTATTAAAAAATTATAATCCGCAATTGCAGGTGACACAGATGTTATTCCTTTTTGGGAAGGAATTCCGCATTATTCTTACATTGATTGGAGTTATCAGAGCGAACAAGAATCATGTACTGATGGTTCGGTGTCTGGATCGGCTTCAATACAAGGTCCGTGGCAACTGGGTGACATGTTATTTGTCAATCAAGAATTTGCGACAAAAAAAGATGTCCAAATGGCACTTAAGCACAACCTTATTAGGGAGCATCAAGAAGCCATTGTAATTGAGAGCACGCCTGCAAAGTTGTCCATGAAATGTTGTGCGTACGATCAAGGTTGTCCGTGGCGCGTAAGGGCGATCAAACCGGTGTTTCGTGAAAATTGGAAAATAACGAGATGGGGTGGAAAACACGAATGTGTGAATGAGCACATTTCCCAGGGTCATAGACAGCTCGATGCGGACGTTATTGCAGATCTCGTGATAGGTACCTTTTTGTATTTTAGATGTGTGATTGAACACAAATGTGTGATTAAATTCGTTCGATGTTATCGAGGCACTGATATCCTCTTCAATGCAGGGATGATAAAGTCTGAACCATCTGTGTCAATCTCTTTGGTGCAAGAAAGGATAACTGCTAAATATGGCTTTCAAGTTTCCTACAGAAAGGCGTGGTATGCGAAGCAGAAAGCGATGGCAATTCTGTACGGTGATTGGGAGGAATCGTATGCTTTTTTACCAAGGTGGTGCGAATACATGCTTCGCTTTTCTCCAGGTTCATTTTATCATATACAAACTAATGATCTTTATGCCGAGCAGAGCTTAGTTTCTGGAAAAAAGGTTTTTCATCGCATTTTTTGGATGTTTAGACAGTGTTGTGAGGAGTTCAAATTTGCCAAACCCGTCATCCAAATTGATGGAACACATTTATATGGAAAGTACAAAGGAAAATTGTTGGTGGCCACAACCCAAAATGGTAATAATGAATGTTTACCGATTGCATTTGCCATCGTAGAAGGCGAAACTTTGGAAGCATGGGATTATTTTCTCGTTAATATTCGTGCTCATGTGACTACGATGTCAAACATATGTTTGATATCCGATCGGCATCGAAGCATAATATCTGCTGTGGAAAATAACCCTACGTGGCAGCCGCCAAATGTGTATCACGTATTTTGTATTCGTCATATTGCAAGCAACTTCAATCAAAAGTTTCGAAATGAAGATTTGAAGCGGATGTTAAAGAATTTAGGTATACTCATTGACTGAATGCGTAATTATTTCTTTCCATTATGACTGTCAATTTATGTTTAATTCGTTAATGTCCAATTTGTGCAGGTTATACTCCAGCAATGGTTGATTTTGAAAGGAATCTTGCGAGTTTCCGTGAAAGTAGTCCTCAAATTGCTGAGTGGATTGATGTGATTCCTAAGGAAAAGTGGTCGCGTGCCTACGATATTGAAGGACGGAGGTACGGTCATATGACAACAAATTTGGCTGAATCTGTCAATAGGGTTTTGAAGGGGGCCAGAAATATGCCTATAACAGCATTGGTTAAGCATACATATAGCAGATTGGTTGCATATTTTGTTGAGAGAGGAACAAATGCTCTTGCACAACTTCAATTAGCTCATCGTCACTCCAAACATGTTGTTGAATTGGTCAAGAAGAACCAGGTAGATGCAACAGGCCACCACGTTCGTGCATACAATGTTGAACATACTGTATTCGAGGTTGACGCAGGTTGGGAGCGTTCATATTCTGTCAACCTCCCACAGAGATACTGTCAGTGTGGAAAGTTTAAGGCCTTTAAGTATCCATGTAGTCACGTCGTTGCTGCTGCGTTAAGTGTTAGGCAGAGTGCGTTCACTTACGTTGACGACGTCTTCTTGATAACTAACTTGGTCGAGGCTTATTCTTTTCCGTGGGAGCCAATCAGAAACGAGGAAGCAATACCTGAAATTAATGGTGCAAAGATTATTCCTGAAACGAGTAAGGAGTGAAAAAAGGAAAGTGGGGTATATATAGGTTGCACATGAGACGCCCTCTTTGGGCGTCACATGTGACGCCCAAAGTGGGCGTCTCATTGTGCAACAGATATGTAATTTTTAACAAAACAGCATTAAATGCGTAATTATTTTAATTAATTACATTATTTTAATTTTTTTGCCGCTACAAGAGTTCCGTATTGCCCACCCAAATCCTATAATTAATTATTGCATGAATTTAACAAAACATTGACACAATCCCACTTAAAAACAATAACTAAAATGCTTTTTAGTCGCAATCCCATTGCAATGCGACGAAGAAAACCAATAAAAATAAAGTCATTATCCAGATTTATGTAATGTGATAAAAGAATGAGAAAAATTTATTTGTTTAAAAAAATTACTCTTTTGAAAATGAGATTTAATTGAATTCGGAGTCGACTATGGACACAGAATGTGTTAACAATCTACACTATAATGACATGATGACTATACATAAAATGTGTTAACAAATAATTATCTTCAAATTATTTGTGCAAATCATTAATGAATTTTAAAAAAATTATTTTACACTAAAATTAAATTAAATAAATTTTTGAATTAAAGAAATATTAGATTTTAAAAAAATAATTTCGGTTTGACATGATGACTCTAATGCCCACGACCCCACGTATCCCATGTTGCAATTATTCTTTAAATAATACTTGAGGGTTGGTTCATTTAAATTTTTAAAATGATTTTATTTCCTGAAAAATGAATCTATTATTGATAGTTTAATATAGTATGCCTATACATAAAATGTTATAAATTTACATGACGAACCATAAATTAACGTTGTAGATTGTTATATGCATTAAAAAATGGTGTGGGGGGGGGGGGGGGGGATATGGGATACTTATGGTACTAATTTAATTAAGAGGAATTTAAAAAAAAAAATCTTTTTGAATAAATAATCCACATTCCACATGATGTAATATAGTTTGGTTATACGAAAACGTTATAATATTTATAACATTTTAGGAAGAAAGATGATATAATCAATATTATAAATTACTTCATGGATTAAATCTTTTTCCAAAATTAATTGAACAAATAAAAGATTTTTGTTATTTTATTTAGGAAAAATGATGCTAATAAGTAATAACAGTAAAGAAAAACATTAATTATCAAAAGACTATGCATACCTGATATGAAGTAATATATTAAGGCCCACATTTAAAGATTTCACCATGAAAAAGCATCTTAAAGAAGGGTTTTAACTCAACAAAGGTTGCTCAATACCTTTGCTACGTTATTTCTGCAATTCTTCTACAAAAGCCATCTTAAATCACCTATACATGAACCAATTGAATGACCTTGTTGCCTCACCATTTGTAGGCAACAATTAAGAGCAACCCTCAAAGCTGGCTCCCCTTACTATAAATACTAGTGAATTACCCGTGTGATGCCTGGGGAAAAAGAACAAAATCATTGTCGCCGTCGTTGTTGTGTCGTCTTACTGTTAAATCCACACGTTGATCTTGATATCAAGCTCTTAACAATAATATGGTAATAAAAAATAATTGTACTATGTGCCAATTTTGAACTTCAAAAGGCTGTAGCATTGACAAAGAAAAAAAGTAAAATAATATTCTGTAGGATTCGCACGTTTAATTGTACCGAGTAATCTTCACCTACAATTGCAAAAGTGATAAAATTTATTCTTCTTAAGGGTGAACATAAAGTGACGAATCTTATACTATTTTTTTTTTTTTTTTTTTTGTAAATAATCTTATACTATTTTGTAGGAAACATGTCTAGTTGTTTTAAGTTTGAAAACAACTTTAGATGTTAAAGGCATTATTTCATAAAATACTATAAAGAAGCCATACTAAATACAATAACACTATTTTGCATGACAACAAAAATAAAAATTTGAAAACCTAGTACATCCATTAATTACGAACAACACCAAAAAAAAATAAACCCTACATATTACAAAATTCATCTATCTCCTTATCTGCAACACAATATTCACAGGTAATATCATTATTATCGTCATTTTCGTCTCAGTCCAATTCTAATTACTTGTTTGAAACCTTTTAATGGTTGCATCTGCTGGAATTGCACCAAGATTTGTCATGATTTTGAACAGGATATTTACGCACCCACAAACTTCGAATAACAGATTTGACGCGCTCTTTGATTTGATTTAACTCAGTCATCTTTTTCAAAGAACGACAAATTTCAAACCCAAATTTTGTTCATCCTGATCGTTGCCAATCATCAAAAGCATATAATAAACATACTTGGCTTCATCGTGACCATTCTGTGCTGCCGTGTTCAAATTTTCAAGGGCCACCTTATCGCGCAAAGAACAACAACTCTGTTGGTAATATTGTACTATTCCTTCACGGTACAAAATTTCTGGGTTGTCACTCTCTCTACAACGTTTCAAAAAATATAATTGGTGATCTCTGTTGTAATGTTCATTTGGTGTCATTACCCATTCAAACATCCCCTTGTATTCCTCGTCAGGCTCACCGTGACAATCGTTGATTACTTCGTGAACAAACGGTCTTTGCGCTGAAGCCGAAGTCATTGGCAAACATGCAAATTTCTCCAACGATGTATGTTTATACACCGAATTATGCTCTGCAAGATTTAAAAAATGTTTGCAACTGACTTTAACGTTCGAAATGTCCTCGATAGAATGGCTCGCTACCTTTTCGAAAATCTTCAATAACAACTTTGCTGGAAGAGTTTTGATGTCAGCCATTGCTTTCTTCATGATTTTTTGGTTTGAAAATTTCAGAATATTTGGTTGGATGTAAATGCAGATAATGAAAAAGGGAATAGGATAAAATGAATATATAATTTTCTGGTACCGTTTCAGTCAATTAATACGACTCTTCAATCTGTTTAAGTGATGTATTGTTTCTGTTTTCCGATGATGGATTTAAGATTATTATTTTGTTTGTTTTTTAAATCAGTCTCTTTAGAGATCGTAGAGCAGATTTGTGTGAGGTGTGTTTTTGTTCCTTAATTATAAATGTCAACTGCAACTCCTGCATCACGATTTCAGCACATCATTTAGGAAGTGTCTCGGTTACTAAAACGTTTTACATCCACGTTTTCTCAAACTCCTTGATTTCTCGATTGAAATTCAGAAAAGTTCATTGGTTATTGGTTATTAAAATCAGCATGCAACCTCCTTGTTTCATTAATGATGTGGCTCCATATTTCCAATGAACAATTTTGGAAAAAGAGCAGCAGCGAGAAGATAAACGTGTAAAAGCTTGTTGAACTATTAATGTTTCACGGAATACTAAAAGGCTTCATAATAATCATTTATGAAAAAGCAATAAAATAATATGAAAAGTCATTCTGTTATAGAACATGTTCTGCATAACCATAATAACAAATAAAATCTTTAGGAAGACGAAAAGACATAACCATATAAGGGAGAAAATCTTCAGTCTTTTTCAAAGGAAACATGCAAAAACATTTTTCCAACGCAAAACATGAACACAAATTATAGGAACGCAAAATGCAGAAACATTATACGTTATCTTCAGTCCTATTCAAAGAAATCTTCAGTTCAGAAACATGATATGAAAACTATAAACAAAATGTATTCAGTTCACCATTTGCATCGCTGGGATGTCGCTCTCATAACAATGTTTCAAAAATTTCACTTATTGTTCCTTGTTGAAGCGTTTCAGATAACACAATTCAAACTCATACAATTCAAAATCCAACACTTTAACATAGAATCTGGATTCATCATCAACATCCCAATGAAAGACTGCTTTCACGAACCATTCTAAGTATGATTTCGAAAACATATCCAAGGACACATGTCTGTAGACAAAATCATGCTCCGCAAATTGCTTGAAATACTTGCAGCTTAGTTTCACGTTGCATATGTCCTCAAACGAATGAGATGCCACTCTTGCAAAAATGTTCAACAACAAATCTCCTGGAAGAGTTTTGATGTCAAACTCTTGATTTTTTCATCTTACTTTTCTAAGAAAAATTCTCTTACTCTTTTTTACTTATAATACGGTAGGTTGCAGGAAAATGAATAACATGAAGAAGTTTGGCTGTTGTTATAAATCATTAGACATCATTCATTTAGGGACACATCTATTGGATATCATTAATTGCTTAAGACTTAAATATGGGTTGCTTAAGAATCATTAATTTCAATCAATTTTAAAAAAAGTTCCTTCATAAGTAATATATTAAGGCCCACATTTAAAGATTTCACCATGAAAAAGCATCTTCAAGAAGGGTTTTAAATCAACAAAGGTTGCCAAATACCTTTGCTACGTTATTTCTGCAATTCTTCTACAAAAGCCATCTTAAATCACCTATACATGAACCAATTGAATGCTCTTGTTGCCTCATCACTTGCAGGCAACAATTAAGAGCATCCCTTAAAGCTGGTCTCCCCTTACTATAAATATTAGTATGCTAAATAAAGGTACACATCTTTTTTTATATGAATAAATTTACTTGCATAAAATTTGACTTGAGCATCCAAATGTCTTGCAGGTACATCTTTCATGTTATTCCACTCATAACTTAAAGTTGCATTAAATCACTTACGGAGGAAGTTGATCATGGTCAACCTTGATTAAACTGTTTCTGATCAATAGTCAATACTTTTAAAAAGTAAGCACAAAACTCATCACAACACGTTACTGAACAAAACATGATTAAATAGGTAATAATCAAATTGAAATGACCCAAAATATTTTTACCTTTTCCCCTTTTTTAGGTTATACTTTAAATGTATATGTAATTACTTTTTTTTTTGTTCTTTTACTAAAGCTACTTCTAACTAGACAATAATTAATTATTTTTATATTTTTTTCATAATTTTTATAAAAAGAAGTGAAGAGAAATAAATCTAATGTATCTTCTACACGATTGTAAAGTCAAACATCAAGTTTACAAAAAAATTGAGAAGTCTAACTGGTTCATTTTTTTAGAGAAGGAAATAGTTGTGCAGATAGTTATCTTTTTATTTAGATTAGCTATCTAAATATCCTTTAGATTATCCTGTTGAGAATAATTTTGTGATTTTTCAAATCTTCTCCCTATTATTTGGCTTTTTTATTGGACTGATTTATCTTTGGTTTATAATTTCAGAAGCATTGTGTTGATTTGATCTTTTTGGAGTGTTGTTTTCTAACCCCCTTAGATTACCAAAAAAAAAAAAAAAAAAAAAAAAGTCAAACAGCAAGTTTCTCGGAGGATATAAGAAGCACAAAAAGAATAGAATAAAAAAATGGGGCACAAGGGAGGAATTTCGTGGAGAGGCACTCGGCCAAGTCACAAGGCAAAGAGGGCCAAGGTCTGGTGGCTTCATGGATTTGGATGGCGTGTATTGAATTGGGTTGAGCCTGCAAAATTTAATGCATCTGATAAATACATGGCTTCAGTTTGATTGTAGAAATCTTCTATCACTCAAGACTCATAAATACTTTATCCTGAAGCGGGGATAACAATCTTCTTGTAATAAATTTTGCTCTTTCATGAGTCGTTGGTGTAATGGCAATTTAATTAGATTTTAGGATTTGACCTATCCAACAAAAAATAATGGGCTCAAATTTTGAGAGTCATAATTCTTGAAAAAAGTGAATAAACACAAACTCAAAATCGGAATAGTCAAATTTATTAAAAGTTCAAATACCGATTCATATTCATCCAAAATTAATTTAATGGCAGGTTAACAGTCCAAGGTTGGTGTGTACGATGTTGACAGTTGACTTGTGGAGTGTTGTAAAAATGGTTAGGCCTTGAATATAATAACCTACATTTCATTTTGCTTTCTATTCAAATCTATTGACAATGACAATTGATAAGGCAATATTATTCCTAATTCGGTTTGTTTTTCTTTTCGTTTGAGAGTTCCCTTGAAAATGACAAGTGAATTTTGATCTGTTATTTGTATCTTTTTTAAGGGAGGGAAACAATCGAAACGAAGTACACAATCAGTTCCTTCAATTTAACAATAATTATTTAGTTTAGCAACTCGACTAAGCAAATGAGATTATCGTTGCAGCAAACCCGTTGACTTTTGAATGAGCATACCGTAACCAATTGATAATCTGATCAAGCAAAATAAATAAAAGGATCTAGTTAGTGGAATATGAGTTTATTTATTTTTATTTTTATCCCTTTTCATAAACCCCTTCTATACATGTTTCAACCTTTTTCTTTAAAAAATAAAATACTCATTCAGTTTTTGGAAGGGACAGTATCTTTTAAGTTAATTTCTTTTTCTTAATATCATAATATGACTATTCTAATTATTGGTGGGAAATTTTCCGAGCCACGTCTACTCTTATGGATTAAGGTCATTTTTTTACCAGAAGTTATCAAAAGACAATCTAATAATTGTTAAGAAATATGACAAGGGAAAAAAAGTGTAAAGAACTTTGAGATACACCACCTCAAAAGCTAGCTCAAAGGGTGGGAGTGCCCAAGGCCTTATAAACTCCACATTAGTTGCACATACAACTAATGTGAGACTAATATCTCAACACGCCCCCTCACACGAGAGCCCATTGGGCTTGAAGAGTGGACAATGCAACAGGTCCAGCCTACCTGTGCTAAGAAACGCCACAAGAGAAAGTGGGGGGCGGCTAGACTCTGATACCATGTAAAGAACCTTGAGATACATCACCCTAAAAACTAACTCAAAGGGTGGGAGTGCCCAAGGCCTTATAAACTCCACATTAGTTGCAGATACAACCAATGTGGGACTAATATCTCAACAAAAAGAATTGATTATTGTTGAGATATATAAAATTATTAGTGTAGCCTCACCCAATAGCTTAAGCTTTTGAGTTGAATTGGTTCTTTACATGGTATCAGAGCTCTCGTGTGAGGGGGCGTGTTCAGATATATAAAATCATTAATGTAGTATCAACCAACCGCTTAAGTTTTTGGGTTGAATTAGTTCTTTACAATTATGAATTAGAAGGGTAATTACACAGAATTTGCAAAGTGACATGTACTAGTTGAACAAATTAATTATCAGCAAATTGACACTTATTACATATGCATTTGTGACTACTATTTTATTTGGTTAAAAAATAATAGCATGATTATATTTACAAAAATTTTGTTTATAAACTCCTATAAATTACACTATATATTATAGGTAGTATATATTATTTGTGTATGTACTACACGTAGTACATAGTGTAGTTTGAAAAAGTTTGTAAACAAAAAAATATAACCTACCCAAAAAATAAATATAACTAATTTCTTTAATCTTTTTTCATTTTTTTGGTAGGAGAAGGGGCACGAGTACCTTAGAGATCAAATTTGTTATTGGTCCATATGAGAAGTCTGTATTCTAGAAAGCTCACGAAAGGGTAACAGAAAGAGGAAGTAATACAAATAAATGAAAGAATCCTTGATTGATGTTAATCTTAATACGACAGCTATGAACCTGGACATAGGTTTACAAAAGTGCCCTCCAAGGCCCATAATTTCAATATTCACAGATAAATCCTATAAATAAGAGGTAAAATTCACATGTATTGACACTCCCTCTCACTCTACTATTGTTATGTTGTCACTGTGCACACACATTACCATTTTGGCAAAAATATTATTCTTAGTACACATTGATCTGCTAACCTTAAAGATATCTCATCCATAGATACCTAAGAGAGCTTTTACATCCAAGATCAATATACTAACTAATCTTTGACAAGACACCTCTGTCCCAAGGACGGAACAAACTTATCTCAT